TGATATATTCCAACTTAACATCAGACCTTGGGTTAATAAAATTGTTGGGATGTGTGAATTTTGAAGACAATTGGACCCTTACATCACATTTGATAAGAGTTGTAAATTTTGAATTTTTGTGGGGGAGGTACTAGATAGAGTGGACCGATATTGTCAGTTTTTGTCCTTTGTGGGGAGGTAACAGAAGGGGTGGACAAATATTGCCCATCTCCGAACTCGATCTTAGTTTGATAAAAATATTACAATGTACCCAGCTTGGACAAATCGGATACTCCATTCGAGAGTTATCGTGCGCACCAGCCAGCCAGACAGACATCGGATCGCTAAGCCGACTACAAATGTCGTAAAACGGATTTGGTCCAAAGAGACCTAGGGTCTAAAACCGTTATTTCGACTAGGCACGTTTTGACCACATCAAATGATATATACCCTCTCTGGCCCGTTCGTGGTTTGGTTGTGATAAAGAGATGGTTTTGCAACTGTGCACAACAAGTGCACGAAAAGTACAAAAAAGTACTACATTTGGTACAATTTCGTATTCGTTGAATAGATAGTGCTTCAAAATTGAAATTTGGTATTAGGGTCGCTGTTCATATGTAGCCTGGACATATGGAGGTAGTTTCGGAAATTTGTACTATAACTGTACGAAAATTACAGAATGACAACATATTTGGTATTGGATGAAGGAATAGAGATACAATTCTGAAATTCTGATTGTTGAAATCCTGAAATGTGATTTAAAGTTCACTATAAGTATCTGAGGTTAAGAAATGGAGATTGTTTTGGATATGTGTACCATAATTGTTCGAAAAATACTAAATGTTACTAACATGCGTGTTGGATGAAGGGATAGAGCTGGAATCCCGAAATTGATACAAAGTTGGGTATTAGATGAAGCGATGGAATTGAAATCCGGAAATTTTACATAGATGATTTGCAAATTCGTACTGTAATTGTTCGAAAAGTACTAAATGGTATTGGGTGAAAGGATAGAAGTAAAATTTTGAAATTTGATATTGGGGTCAGTGTTGATTTCATGGGTTTAAATATGGATACGTTGAAATATTTTTGGACAGAAAAAATGGATATGGGTCAATGTACAATGGGTTTACTTATATTCTTCTCCATAAACTTCAAAATGAAAGATTTTGAAAACATTTTGGTGTAAATGATACATTTTTCTTTAAATCTTTTCCAAATGGAAAAACTGAATAAATTGTGCATTTAGGATACTAACAAGTAAAAAAGCAGTAAGTTCGGATGGGACGAACTATGAATACTCTCCACCATTTGTAAGGAATTTGAAAATTTTCAAAAATATTGCGTTTAAAAATACTGCTAAAATCATAAAATACCGAAAATAGAGAGGTAGCGTTGCATGGGGGCTATACGAAAACGTGGACCTATTAAACAATTTTATGTCATTGGATGTAGTATCCATTAGGAACTTCAAATTTAAAACACATCCGGTGAATAATGTCGCTAAAATCACCTATACGAAGACGTAGACCTGCAATTTTCGGTCACAGGCTGTAGAACTCTTTAGGATCTTACAATATGAAATTTTAAACAATTACCGTGGATAATGTCACTAACATCATCAAAATATTGAATGTTTTGAGGGGACTGTACCACAACACAAACTTATAACGGTAGTTCTTTTCACGGAAATTTCTTACATAATGGGGACATATGCTGTCAATTTACAGCAAATTCGGTTAACAATGTCAATAACTTTTCCATAAAAAATATTACAATCTCATATAGTGCGAAGGGAGTGAATAATAATAATTTAGTTATACCCTCAGCCATATGGCTAGAGAGGGTATATATCATTTGATGCAGCCAAAACGTTCCTCATCGAAATAACGGTCTTAGAACCAAAGTCTCTGTACCAAATCCGTTTCAGGACATTTGGAGTCGATCTCTGTCTAGCTGGCTAGTGCGCACGGTAACTTTCGAAGGGAGTAAGCGATTTGGTCCAATCGTAATATTATTGTCAAACTTACTTAATCAACAATTTGAATAACCATAAAGCTTATAAAAAAGGAAATGAGTATCCGATTATTTTGAAGACGAAAGATCTCTTCCTTCTGGTACCTCCCCCATAAACTCGAGATTTAAAATATATATTAACCCTCTACGTTCGATAAACACCCTCTCAAAGAAAAATAATTATAATAAAATAAAAAAAATTAAAAAAACCTTTTTGAAAAATAACTTCTGAGTTATAGAGTGAAGATGGAACTCATCGGCCCATTCTTTCAGGTACCTTCCCCACAAAGGTTAAAATAATTATATTTCTATAAGCCATGTCTGTAATGTAAATTGGGAGTATTTCGGTTCACTTCTTCAACCCCCCCCCCCCCCCACCAAAAAAATGTTTTTTTTATAAATAAAATCAGGTCGCATTTATTGCCCGATCCACAATTAAATTTCGCACAAGTCATTTGTTTGAGCCAAGGACAAACACTATAAAAATTGAAAAAAATCGGTCAAAATTTAGAAATAGCTCAGATATATATCTTCGTCCGAGTTGATTTTTATTGTGCATCAAATAGTACGAAATTTTGCACATACGACTAAATCAAGTCTAAAAATAAGTATGCCAAATTTGATCGAAATAGGTTCAGATATAGCTATAACTTCCATATATATTGTTCATCCGATTTGTTATATTTGTCCTTCACAGCCGTAATATGCACTAATATGCATTTAGCACTTACGACCAAATTGAAATTAAAAATTTGGTAGAAATCGGTTCAGATATAGCTTTAACACCCATATATACAGAGTGAGATGAAAAAACTGCAACCAAGTTCAGATAGCTGTCATTTCTAAGCCATTCGTCCGACAGCTGTTAAAATTATTCCAGTGACAGCTCATTATATTGTTTACAAGCGTAAAAAAGAATTTTGGTGAGAATTTTCCAGAAAAAAAAGTTATTTGTGATGGAATTCAAACGGCCACTACGACGCGGGTTTCGATCAAGTCGCTTCTTTACTTTTCGAACCATTTTTACTGATGTTGCTGTTTTTTCCCGTCCACCTTTGGCACGAATTATAGCCTTCAAACAGCCAATGAAACCGTCACACCCTGCCCGAATGTTGTTCTGCGGTTTTTGGGCCAGTACCAGCGAAGCACTTGTTTGAGGTGATCGACACTTTTTTATTTTTTAGTGCCAACCTTGCTTTCCAAAATACTTCAGACACAATAGTCCAACGGATTGGTATCCGGAAGCGAGGAACGTCATTTTGTTATCATTCTTGGGTGGAGCGTGCTGAGTGCGATGGTGCTGAGTCCTGTTGGAATGTCCAAGGTCTGTGGCCAAAATGTTTGCGTGCCCAAGGCTTTAATACACCCTCCAGAATATTTTCGCAATAATATTCGGCATTTATTCTGATGCCATGGTCGATTAATACGAGCGGAGAGCGATCATCGTCTGTTATGACGGCCCACCCTATCACCATGGCCGGCGCTTTAATTCTGGTGACCAACCTAAGGTGCATATATTCAGCCGACCTCTTTGGCAATTAAACACGATCATTTGGTTTGTTTACAAACTGCTGGACAACGAATGTTTTTTCATCGGAGAAAACCAAATTCGGCAATTCAGCACTTTCGGCCATTCGAAGCAACTCTTTAGCTCTTTTGAGTCTATTTTCTTTCTGTTGCGGTGTAAATTCTTGCACTTTTTGGAATTTCAATGGCTTTACCCAGAGCTAATTTTTCAATATAATAATAACTTTTTTTCTGGAAAATTCTCACTAAAATGCTTTTGTACGCTTGTAACCAATATAATGAGCTGCCACTGGAATAATTTTAACAGCTGTCGGGCGAGTGGCTTAGAAATGACAGCAGTCTGAAGTTGATTGCTTTTTTTTCATCTCACCCTGTAATGTAAATTTGGAATGTGTCGGTCGACTTTTTCTGTAAAACACCAAATACAGCTAATAAATACCCTTGCCAAATTCTATCGAGATTGGTTCAGATTTTGATGTAGCTCTCATATATATACTTATCCGATTTCAAGTTAATTGTGCACCAAATGGGTAATATAGGCCCAAATTGAAAACGAACTAATGTCTCGCAAATTTAGTAAAAATCGATTCAGAGCAGGATATTCCACTCATATATTAGTTCCTTTTAAAATATAACTAAAATTTTAGTTGGTATGATTTAATTCTCACAAATTCCCAATAGAAAATCCCATAAAATAGCGCAAAAGAATGAGAATTTTTTGAAAAATTTTTGTAAGAAGTTATATATTGTATTCAGAATTCAAAATGCAAAGTTACATCAAAATCTGTTGAAAAAGTTTGCCAATACCTAAAAAGTCTCTCAAATCGGGCCAAGGGTTCTATGGGAGCCATATCAAATTGTGGACCCATATTAATAATATTTTCATTAGGTATCCATTAAGAACGCCAGATGTCAAACTTCAGTCCATTTCAATAGTGTACCTAAAATGTTAAAATTTCTTTAAATCCGTGTATACCGTTGTATGAGGCCGACGTCGAAACTTCGATCATTCTTTAAAAGTATTTGATTACATTATTTTTTACTCATTATAAGGCTATTATAAAAAATCTGATCGATTAGTTGTGTAGAGCTATTTTTGTCACATCTTCTCATACATGTGGGACCACTGTTACTGTTGCGAATTTTGCACACACTTTCTGTAACAAATATTTGCCTTACATTGCTTCAATCTTTAATACCAAAACCATTTTAACCAATAATTTTATTACATCGTTACTTTTAAGCAATTATCAGATGCAAATAATTTTTTTTAAATAAAACCACTTACCACAACAACGTATTTCAATTAACATTTAATTTGCACATTGAAGAACTTATCCTTCTCTAATCTCAAATCTCTATACAAAAAGACACACACAAAAACAAACATGCACTCCGAGTAAATGTTGACTGACATTGACCACAAAATTCCTAAGCAATTCGTGTGAATAGCTCGACATGCTTCTTTTTCGTCTTACCTCAGCAGGACGGAACCATCGGCAGCATAACACTCAAAATCATCAGCCGTCGATGATGAGGTTGAGGCTCGATATGGCATCGAAGCATCGGGGGTTTGGGCGCCGGCACCACCACCACCACCTCCAGCTGCCGAGTTACTATAATTTCCGGTTGTACCACCACTGCCACCAGCAATGGCTGCTTCAACCAAAACAGCACCGGAACTACCATGAGGTGTGCTACCCGAAGATTTACGCCGATAGACAAGCGTTCCATCATCCTTGGGCAGGTTAAGTGATTTTATGCTGAGCGTGTTGTTGTTGTTATTAAAATTGCTGCTTATGTTGTTGTTGTTGTTACTGATACTGCTGTTGTTATTGTTGTTCCACGGGGCACTACTACAGGCTGCCGATGTGGGTGTGGAGGTGGCCGTTGTAGTTGTTGTATTACGTGTCAATAATGACCAACGATTTCCGCTGCATGTTGAGGCTCTGGCTGAGCTTAATCGTTCCTCTGGAGATTTGGTTGTCAAGTGTGGCATAAAAAGAGAACGAAAGAGAAAGAGAGAGAGAGAGACAGACACATTAAATTATCACCATATACTGGAAAATTACTAAAAAAAATATCGAATCAACAAGGTTCATCCCTCCTTCCCCCATCCATCCCTGCACCCGGCATGTCACAAATGCTTCCTCGTGTGACTTTATTAAAGGACATTATTTCAAATTAAGACAAAGGACCGGCACACAGACAGCCGCACATACCCTAACGAAAATAAATGTCCATATTGATGCCAATGATGATGATGATGAAAATGGATGATGATGCTGTTGTTGTTGAGGATGATAATGCGAACTATTGATGGAAAATTGTAATAATGGAAAATTTCCAATAATAAATGAAATTAAAAAGAAAAAACACACAATTTTTCACACCCCAGCAACAATGACTGTCTGAAGTTCATTGAATGTCTGACAGTAAATTTCGTTATCAAAAGTAGTCAATTAAGGCGATTTCCATTCAAATGGAATATGAAAAGGCTATTTTTGGGAACGAACAATGGCCAGTCAGTCAGACAATGCCCAGGCATTTTTTACCGCAATTTTAATTAATTGTCTTTTGTTTTTTTTTTTTTTTTTTTTTTTTGTAAAATTATGATTGACAGGTGAAAATCAGATGATAATAAAATGTATGGAGAGCCACTTTTCATTAAACACACAAAAATAATTTTATTTGAGATTTTAAAGTCATCAATATGAAATAATTTCGCTTTTACTTAATTAAGGAAATTTTAGGTCTGTTACAGGACTGCAAGAATGTAAATGTTTTTACTAAGTTTTTTTTAACGAATTTTCCTTTTTTGATTTCGGGAAAAAATGCAAAAGTAGTAGTTCCTACAGATTCTGGAATAGAAAATAAGCTGTCCTTAGTTACCAAATTAATTTTAAGTCAACATTTCGAGTTAATCTTGTAGCTGAGTAATAATTTTTCAAAATCGGTGAATGTGGTTCTGTCGTTAAGTTTGTGTCCATGTAAGACCATTTAAATTTTCCAGTTGAAGGGAGTAAAGAGAAGTTAGAGAAATGGTAGGCAAAGGGCTAAAGAAAAACCAGTAAGGAAAGGTCAAAAGTCGACCCCGGCCGAATATATTATACGCATATAGTATTTATTCGTTTTTAGTAGAGCTTATGTAAAAAAAAATAATTATGTTGGGAATTTATTTGAAGTAGATCATAACGACTATGAACCTTATTTGAATGCTTATCATGGCTTTAGAGTAGTCACAATTTAGGAATTATATCCAACTCTGTATCGATTCCCAACAAATTTGATGGAGGTTTTTATACCTCTAGTATCAATTAAGAATCCATAAGTATTATATTAAACAAGTTAAAAAGCAGTAAGTTCGGCCGGGCCAAACTTTGAATACCCTCCACCATTTGGAACGAATTTGGAAATTTAAAAAAAATAAAATCCTTAAAAAATTCTGATAAATTTAAAAAATACCGAATATTGCCGTTATATTGGGGTCTATACGACGTGGACCTACATAAGCATTGTTTGATATTAGCCTTTACAATATTCAAATTCGAAACTTGAAATAAACGGTGAATAATGTAGCTAAAATCATCAAAATATCGTATATAGGGAGGTACCATTATATCGGAGCTGTGCGAAGACCTGGACCAGCATAGACGATTTTCTGTGACAGGCTATAGCATCCATTACTAACGTCAAATACGATATCTCAAATAATTTCGGTGGGTATTGTACCTAAACTCGTCAAAATACCGAATATAGGGAGGTATTGATATATGGGGCCTATACGACGACCTGCATAGAAATTTTTCTGTCACAGGCTGTAGTTCCCATTACGAACTCTAAATACGTAATTTGAAACAGTTCCGGTAAATAATGGCGCTAAAATTATCAAAATACCGAATTTTGGGAGGTACCGTTATATGGGGGCTATACGAAGACCTGGACCTGCATAGACATTTTTCTGTCACAGACTGTAGTTCCCATTACGAACTCTAAATACGTAATTTGAAACAGTTCCGGTAAATAATGGCGCTAAAATCATCAAAATACCGAATTTTGGGAGGTACCGTTATATGGGGGCTATACGAAGACGTGGTCCTGCCCAGATAATTTTCCGTCATAGGCTGTAGTATCCATTTCGAACTTCAAATACCAAAGTTGAAACAATTTCGGTGAATAATGCCGCTAAAATCATCAAAATACCGAATATTGGGAGGTACCGTTATATGGGGGCTATATGAAAACGTGAACCTACATGGCCCATTTACGAACTTAACTTGCCTACTGGAAAAATAAACACGTATGCAAAATTTTAGCCTTCTATATAAATTCGTTCGAAAGATAGCGTGATTACAACAGACAGACGGATAGACAGAAAGACGGACATGGCTAAATCGACTTAGAATTTTACGCTGATCAAGAATATATACTTTGTTGGGTCTGACATGAGTATTTCGAGGAGTTACAAACGGAATGACAAAGTTAATATACCCTCCATAGTATGGTGGAGGGTATAAAATATTTATTTGAGCATCAGGCATACCGGACCGAGTTTCTCCAAATGAAAAAAATCGGTTGAAAATGACATTACATCTATGGTGAGCAACAATCATAAAATCGGGTAAAGATATATATGGGAGCTATATGCAAATCTGAACCGATCTCGATAAAAGTTGGCAGAGGTATTTTCGAGCAATGTCTGATGCCCGGTATCAAATAGCATTGTTGTGGAGTACATATTACACATGTGAGAGACTTTAGCACCAAATCGATGAAACATATATATGGGACCTATAACTTTATCTGAACCGATTTTCACCAAAGTTGAAGTACGTGCTTCTAGGCTGAATTCGGTCAGGAGTGCCACAATTCATTTCATTTGGGCTGATATTAGCCCTTTGGCTGAAATCGGATAAAGGTAAATATGGGAGCTATCTATATCCAAATCTGAACCGATCTTCTCTTCTGAGCTGTAACTGATATCTGGTACCAGCGATTATTGTTGTGGTTTGAATATTATCCACGTGAGGGACTTAAAACCCCAAATACATATGAAAGCTATAGCTATATCTGAACCGATTTTCTCCAAATTTATATTGTATGTATTTTCTTCTAGACTGAATTCGTGAGAATGAGGTCATTTTCAGGTCATTCGAAATCGGTTGAGCTATATAAAAATTTGAGCCGATTCTCACCAGCTTTAATAGGTTTCGTCCTTGGGCCAACCAAATTTTGTTTGGAAAATTTCATCTCAATCGGATAATAAATGCGAGCTGAATTTTATTCACAAAAGCACATGGACAGACGAACGGACGGATAGACGGACTGACAGGCATAAATCGACTCAGAAAGTGATTCTATGAAGATCCTCAAAAGTAACTATGAGTCTTTCTCGATACAACTCTGTATGTGGTATTGAAGTAATCGACCTACGGACAAGGAATCAGCGCCCAAACGAGACGGCTGAAGCTAGAATCTTGAAATTTTCCACGGGGGTCAGTCTTGGTGCGAAGGAATTTGATATGTGAATGCAAGGGCTGGGTTTTTGGATATTCGTACTAAAAGGGTATGACAAGTATTCAAATGTTCTACACAATCAATACTTGGACAAGCGGAATGAGCTAGAATTCCGAAGTTTGAGAGTCTCTAATGGAGTGCAGGATAGGTGTACAAAAGAATTTTTTTGGAAATTCGAACTTTAAGATTACGGAAAGTTCCAAAATGGTACTTAAATTCTAAAATGGTACCATTTGGTATTATGTGGTGGTTTTGGAAATGTGTACTAATTGTGTGAACTGGACTAAATGGTACTAAACTTGGAATAGTTTGGTTTATTGAGAACGGATGAAGCTTGAATTGGGTCCCTATTGGTGGTAGGTTTGTTATAATGATGTGGTTTTGGAAACCACAAATTTGGTATTAGAGTTGCTGTTCGTGTGTAGCCTGGATATATGGAGGTGATAATTTCATGAAAAGCACTAAAAGGTACTATGTTTGATTTTGGGTGACGGGATAAAGATGCAATTTTATAATTATACCCTCAGCCATATGGCTACAGAGGGTATATATCATTTGATACGGTCAAAACGTGCCTAGTTGAAATAATGGTTTTAGACCCTAGGTCTCTTTGGACCAAATCCGTTTCAGAACATTTGGAGTCGATCTACCGATGTCCGTCCGTCCGACTGTCTGTCTGGCTGGTTGGTGCGCACGATAGCTCTCGAAGGGAGTATCCGATTTGATCCAAACTTGGTACATAGTAATATTTTTGTCAAACTTAGATCGAGTTCGGAGATGGGCAATATCGGTCCACTCCTTCTGGCACCTCCCACACAAAATGTCAAAATTTTCAAAGAAAATAATTTATTGCACAGAAAGAGAAAGGATAATCCGATTTTGCTCGAACTTTGCGAATCCTAATATTTTCATCAGTGCTAGGTCAGATGAGAAAATGAACAATATCGGTCCACTCCATCAAGTACCTCCCCCACAAAGGGTCAACATTTTGAATAATTACAACTCGTATAAAATGTGATATAAAAGTCCGATTAATTTCAAATTTCACACATCCCAATAATTGTATTAGCCCAAGGTCCTGTGTTAAGAGGGAATACATCGGTCCACTCCTTTTGGTACCTCCCCCACAAAAGGTCGAATTTTTCGAAAAATATATTTTTTGCACAGAAAGAGAAACGGTTAGCCGATTTTGCTCTAACTTTGCAAATCCTAATATTTCCGTCAGTGCTAGGTCAGGTGCTAAAATAAACAGTACCGGTCCACTCCATCAAGTACCTCCCCCACAAAGAGTCAACATTTTGAATAATTATAACTCTTATAATATGTGATGTAAGGATCCGAACGTCTTCAAATTCCACACATTCCAATATTTTTATAAACCCAAGATCTGCTGTTAATATGGAATGTATCCGTCCACTCCTTCTGGCACCTCCCCCACAAAGTGTCGAAATTCTGAATACCCATGAAGCTCATAAAACGCCACATTAAGATACGATTCCATTTAGACTTGGCACATCTCAATATTTCTATCAACACAAGATCTGTTATAAAGGTGGTATAGATCGAACCAATGCTTCTGGCACCTCCCCCATACTTAGGGTTCAATATTTTGAAAAACAAACCGCTCAAATAAGCATCCATCTCGTAAAATTTCACACATAAAAATTTTTTTGCTAACACAAGATCTGTTATGAAGTTGATATATATCTGCGAACCCCTTCTGGTACCTCACCTACAAAGGGTCACAATTTTCAATAATTTTATCTGTCATAACTTTCGAAACAATTTAGCAATTCTTTACTACTTGCTATGCTCAAATATTTCTCTCAATAAGAAGCCTGATATGAATATGACATTTATCGGAATTTATGAATTCGCATAAAATTGGACATAAATATCCCTTCTTGTAATTTAGCCCAATATTTCGCTCAATATTTTTTATTTGTAGCAGATGAAGTATAAAAATGGAATATTTCGGTAGACTCTATATGGCACATCACGCACATTTTAACATTTTCTAAAAATTATTACATATCTCATATAAAGTGAAGGAGTGAGTCGATATAATCCATACCAGGAACATTGGAATATTTATATCTTTTTTTTGTGGGTCTGATACGAAATGATCCATTCCTTCGGAACCGGCTCCATAGAGGGTCAAACGTTTGAATAATTGAAACAATAGTCAAATAGATTTCGATTATTTAATCGAACATAGGCTGAGGGTATATATCTGTCGGCAATACCGACTGATACTTTTTAACTTGTTTTATTTTTATTTTACTGATGGTATTTGTATTTGAGATTTGGTGGTGGTTTGGTTTGGCGTCCTATACTTGTACGAAAAGTACTAAATAGTATTAAATTTGATATTGGGTCAAGGGATAGAGCTGAAATCCTCAAATTTGATATTGAGGTCTGTGTTGATTTACTGGAATCGTGACATCTAGGTGGTTTCGGGGATGTGTACTATAATTGTTCGAAAAATACTAAATTTGGTATGAGGTGAAGGAATAGAGCTGAAATCCTAAAATTTGTTGCTGTTGGTATTTGTGTTTGAGATATGGCGGTGGGTAAGAAATGTGTAGTATAATTGTTAGAAAAGTACTAAGTGACACTAAATTAGGTATTGATTGAAAGAATAAAGCGAAGATCCTGAAATTTGATATAGATGTAAGTGGTTTAGAAATGCGTCCTATTATTGTACGACACGTAATAAACGGTACTAAATTTGGTTTAAGATATGTAAATAGTTTGAGGTCTCGTAATAGGTTCTTATTCATGTTTTAGCAAATATATTTTTTGGTAAATATACTTAGCTCAATTCGCATCGAATATGCGATGCATGTCCACCCCTCTGGTATGACCTCCTCACTATAAATGTCATGCAAGGGCAATAAACTACAATTCTACTCAACTGAACACATCCGACGAATTTTTTCTATTTTAATACAAAAACTTAAAACTCCAATTTTGGAGCATATCCTTTCCGATTTATCCCTAGCCCACCTTCATTTTACATTCACCACTAGCCATTCAGCCACACACACACTATGTATACATATGTATGTGTGGTGTGGCCGTCAAATTGCCTGTTAATGAAATTTAACAGATTGCAGCGAAATTGTTTTTAATAGAATCAACTTAAAAAATAATTGCATTGCTTCTGTCCTCCTCCCCCGTCCGGTTCGTCCTGTTAATCTTGTTTGGATTGTCAATGAAAACGATGAAAATGTAAAAGTGAATCATTAAATTGAGGGGAGGGGTGAGGGGCTTGGTCAGGGGAGGGGGTCACTTTACTATGCCAATGGCATCAATGAATTTTTTTCCGACTCAAGGCAATTGTAGGACATTTTGTTTGAATGAAAAAAAAAAACAAAAAATTCCATGTTCTAGACAACATTTATGGCTGGTGATGTAGCATATTTAAATAAAAGCGAAAATAATAATAAAAACTCAAACAACAACACCAACAAAAAACATAAGTTAATTTATTGTATAATTTCATGATGGGTCTTCCACGAATATCCAACCATGGCAAGAATGACATTAAAGCTCTTTAGCAGGGATTTGCTGCTTAGTAATAGACTGTCATGTACAGCAGCAACGACAACAACAACAACAACGGGAGCAACAAATTTGTTCTTTTGGTGATGATAATGCAAAAAATCGTTTTTTTTTTGAGTCTGGCGCTAAAATGTTGTCTTCTTTTATGTCGCCAAACGATAGAAACAATGGCTGAATAAAGAAATTTGTAAATGTCTTTTTTGTTGTAGCGCCGTGCATGTCAACAGCTATGACAATAATGAAGACAATGGCGAGGTAAGCGATAGTGATGCTCTTGTTGCGGTTGCCTTGGCTATAAGTAGAGACACACACACACATGCCCTCTCACCCTCATCGACGCCCCTCTCCCCCCTTAATGTACACAAAAGATTTTCCATTTTAAGCAGATTGTCTTCTTAGGTATGTGTGTGTGTATGTTGGTATGCAAAGTTAGGTGGATGGGTGCCCTCTGGACTCTTTGGAGGATTCCATGGTTTTTGTTTTTCAGTTTTTTTTTTTTTTTTTTCGAATACATACCCCATTGAAATTGCGATTTATCGGTGTGCAAGGATACCACCGGTATACCCGGAACTATGATTGCAGGCAATGTTCGCGAACGCAACAATGGTGGTGGTACTTTGCCACGGCCAGAACGTCCTTGTTGATTGTTGAGTGCAACATTTAAGGCTTGAGCTCTGCAAGGATGAGAACAGAGAAAACAACGAAAATATTTAATATTATTTTAAGAATTTTTTATGGCTTCAAATATAGAACAAAAATTTTGTAATATTTTCAATCTTTGTATTTTCCAATATATACATATGTATATACATACATATATACATATATTTAAACGAGTAGTGAAACATCTGAATGACTGACCCAGAATCAAAGCCCAGACAAAACTTCTGAGTCAAAAATCTTTAAAATTTGCAAAGTTTCAAAATTCTAGCTTCAATCGTCGTCTGGACTGGATTTTGAAAATTCGTACTAAAATGGTACGGATGCCACTAAAATGTACTAAAAATATAATACTTTATATCGGACAAACGGAATGAGCTTGTCATTTGGAATGAGAGTCACTGATGGAGTTCAGGATAGATGCACAAAAGGGGCTTTGGAAACTCGAACTTTAAGTATACAAAAAGTTCTGAAATGGTACTAAACTTCTAGAACGGTACTATTTGGTATTATGAGAACGTATGCGGCTAAAAAAATTGAAATTTTGTAAGAGAATCAATATTGCACTACAAGTACAGTATTAATATTTGCCCTCGAGGGCAATTCCCATGTTCCTTTTGATGATCTGCATAGAATCACATTCTGAGTTGATTTATGCATGTCCGTCCGTCCGTCCGTCCGTCTGTCCATGTATTTTTGTAAACAAAATACAGATCGCATTTATTGCCCTATCCAGATGAAATTTGGCACAAATCATTTGTTTGGCCCAAGGATGAACCCTACTGAAATTGGAAATAATCGGTAAAAATTTAGATATAGCTCCCATATATATCTTCGTCCGATTTGTCTTTTATTGTGCACCAAACGTGTAATATCAGCCCGAATTGTATGGAATTTTGCATATACGCCCAAATTAGGTCTGAAAATATGTATGCCAAATTTGATCGAAATCGGTTCAGATATAGCTATAGCTCCCATATATATTGTTCATCCGATTTGTTATTTTTATCCACCGCCGCCATAATATGCACTCTGCAACCACAATATTTAGGGAAATATATCAAATGCAGCTCAGAAATACATTTGCTAAATTTTATCGAGATTGGTTCAGATTTGGATATAGCTCCCATATATAACTTCGTCCGATTTACCTTTTATTGTGCACCAAACGTCTAATATTTGTCCAAATGGGATGGAATTTGGCACTTACGACCGAATTGAGTCTAGAAGCTAGTATGTCAAATTTGGTGAAGATCGGTTCAGATATAGCTATAGCTCCAAATATATATTATTCATCGGATTTGTTGTATTTGTTACCCACAGCCGTAATATGCACTCCGTAACAACGATATTCAGGGAAATATATCAAACACAGCTCAGAAATATCTTTGCCAAATTTTATCGAGATCGGTTCAGATTTGGATATAGCTCCCATATATATCTTTATCCGATTTCAAATTAATTGTGCACCAAATGGGCAATACAATTCCGAATTTAAAAGATACAAATGCTTCGGCATATTTAGTCCTTTGATCTTTAAATTATAATTGTAATCATAGCGAGTATGATTGAATTCTCCTATAAAAACTTTTAATTGTTATGTGGAGCTCTACTAAATTAGCAAAGTGGTGTAGGGTTCCATAAAGTCGACACCGCCCGATTATAAGACTTTCTTTACTGGTTTTGTGCTGGCAATGCCATATAATTGGTTCTTTTTTTTGATCAATGTTTTCCTGCTCTCTTGCTCTCTGAGTAAGAAAGCCCAGCGGATTTTTTAGCACATACATCTTCCATCTGAGACCAATGACAATGTAGGTGCGACCCATCCAAAGCCTGTATACAATTTCTACTTACATTTACACAGCGATGGCCTAGGCCGTCAGACGAGTCCGAAATCTACCGACAATGTAAGCGAATGTTGGATGGGTCCGAAATCGACCGACAACGTAAGCGAATGTTGGATGGGTCCGAAATCTATCAACATTGTAAGCGAAGGTTGGATGGGTCCGATTCCATCAACATTTTAGATTGTGGAAATTAAATTTCAGCTGTTTTTTTTATTAAAATATTCGTATTATAGAACAGAGTTTTCAACAATAAAATATTCTTATTATAATTAGAAATAATGCATAAAAAGGAATTTTATAAAACTTTTCAAAAGACGTGTGAAGAAACAAAAAATTAATTTTTTCCAGTTTTTTTATTGTAGGACAATGTTCGGAAGTGTCTGGCTTTAGGGAATTTGAAACAATTTCTAATCTGAAAGAAATTAAATTATTAATGGATTATAACGGAGAGTTTTCAATATTCTTACATATTTTCCAAAATCTTCTACAATTTTGGAATGCATGGAATCTGCTCATTTAGTACAATATCATTGTTTTCCAAATAGTCCGTCCTCAACTGTACATTTCTTTCTAAATTGTCTGCTTCCACATTCTTTAATCGTCTTAAATTTCTCCTAATGGATCCTGACATTTTGTTTAACTTATTTAACACACAACACTTACTATATTCTTATGTTAATTATTTATTTTATTTTATTAACTTTTTTCAATATTCACAACTTGCACTTTCAAAAACACTTCACAGAATAAAATTTTGCTTTAAAAAAGAAAGAAGCATAAAAAATGAATAACGGTACAACACCGGCTGCAACAACACACAAAAAAACTTTGCAAAACAATACAAAGGCATCCGATTCAGATGCAAGTGCGATGGACACATTTTATTATATTTTGTTTTGTTCTTTAATTCTAATATGGATTTTGTTCCACAATGTAATAGCAATGCGACTCATCCAAATCGGATTCTAGTTGTATGCTATAAACAACTGTTATTTCATTTTTTCCTATTGACAAAACAGCATACATTTGGATGGGTATTAAATTGTAATGGCCAGCGGACTGCTGGGAGGAGGAACAAGTGAATGAGGAAAAGAAGAAGAATAGTCTTCTATTAGATTTTTTAATTGTTTTGCAACATTTGACCAAGAAGGTCGTTAAAATTAAATTGTGTCCCCAATAATTGTGGAAACAAAACAAAAAAAAGTGAAGTCAGAAAATTTGTGCGCTTGATTTCGAAGCGTGGATCGACACAGTGGTAGCGGGTCGTCTTCAGAAAAAGAAAAGAAACTGCAAAGGAACCCTTGCCCAAGTAGGAGCATTTACCCGAACCAGAAGTGTAGGTAACCAGTCGATCAGGGAAACTGACTCCGTGGTGACCGACTATAGCTAAGTTGTTTAGTCCCGTCAACAGTTGGGAAGCATGTTTGATATATGAAGGTGGTTTTGCAAATATGTCTTAAGTGTGTGAACTGTACTAAATAGTACTATGTTTGGTACAATTTGGTATTGGGTGAACGGATGAAGCTGAAATTTTGAAATTTTATATTGTGGTCCCTGTAGGTGGTTGATTTGTGTTAAAGAGGTGGCTGTGGAATTGTGTGCTACAAGTGCAGGAAAAGTACTACATAGTACTATATTTTGGTACAAATTGGTATTGGGTGAACAGATGTTGCTTGAGATCTGATATTTGATGTCACGGTCGCTTTTCATATGTAGCCTGGCCATATGGAGGTGGTGTCAAAAATGTGTACCATAATTGAACGAAAAGTACTAAATGGTACTACATTTGGTACTGGGTGAATGGATGGGCTGGAATGTTCAAATTTAGTATTGAGGTCTTTGTTGGTATCAGGAACTGAGATTTGGCGGGAAAAGCGAAGAGCTGAAATCTCAAGATTTAATATTGAGGTCTCTGTTGGTATGTTGGTCTATATGGAAGGGATTTTCGATGTGTGTACTAGAGTAGTACGAAAAGTATAAATAGTACTAAAATTGGTATTTGGTGAAGAGATAGGGCTGGATTCTGTTAATATAATACTGAGGTATCTGTTGGTATCAGAAATTGAGATATGGAAGTGTGTACTATAGTAGTACGGAAATTACTAAATGGTACTAAAATTGCTATTGTGTGAAGGGATAGGGCTGGATTCTTTAAATTTGATATTGAGATTCTCTGGAATTGAGAAATGGATGAGGTTTTGGAAATGTGTACTTTAATTGTTCGAAAAGTATTACATAGTACGAACTTTGGAATGGGCTGCAATGTTAAAATTAAATATTGACGTCATTTTTGGTATCAGGAACTGAGATTTGGCAGGTAGTTTGGAAAAGCGTCCTATATTTGTACGAAAATACTAGATAGTACTAAATTTGGTATTGGGTGAAGGAATAGAGCTAATATTGAGGTATCTGTTAGTATATTGGATCACGATATGGAAGTAGATTTGAAAATGTGTACTATAATCGTACAAAAAGTACTAAATAGTGCTGAATTCGGTATTGGCTGGAATCCCGAAATTTGATGTTGAGGTCTTTGTTGGTATCAAGAATTGAGAAATTTAGCTATGGATTGGAAATGAGCCCTTTATTTGTACTAAATGGTACTATGTTTGGTATTAGGTGAAGGGATAGAGCTGGAATCCTCAAATTTGATATTGAGGTCTATATTGGAAGTTGGGATTGAGATAAGGAAGTGGTTTTGGAAATGTGTACTATTATTTTACGAAATGTGTTAAGAAGTACTAAATTTCCTATAAGGTGAAGGAATAGAGCAGAACCCCTGGAATTAGATGTTGTTGTAGCAGTAGTAGCATGTATGTGTTTGCATTCTGCTAATCTGGTTCAGGTTCCAGTTTTAAAAATTCGGCTACTTTAATGGGCTGTATCCAGAGATATTCTCGAGTGAGATATTCTGGGTAGGTTTGGCCGTGCAATTAAAGAGATGCAGCGTTTTGTGCGGGCCTTCAGCTGCAATGAATGGAAAGTCGACTCCGAGGACGGCATTCATTTTGTAATTGCTAATAGCATCCGTGACTGCGTCAGTATGAATGACACTCAGATCTGCCTGATAGGCTTCTTGATCAGGAGGTTCTCTCCTATAACGTTGGACCTCGCTCTCTAGATCGTTAAGGTCCTTCCTGACACGCCTGTGTGGGGGAGTTGTATCCACCATATGATGGTTGGGATGACTCATGTAGATGGTCCATTGGTGTCATATGAAGGCACCCTGTCGCAATTCTCAGGGCAGCATTTTGGCACATCTGGAGGAATTTGATGTGAATATCAATGTTGGTGTCTGTGGTTGAGAGCGGGAGCTGAGTGGTACTAAATTTGGTGATGGGAGAAATTGCAGAGCTAACATTTAATATTTAGGTCACTGTTGGTATCTGCGGTTAAGATATTAAAATTGTTTTTCAAATGCGTACTAAAATTGTTCGAAAAGTACTAATAGCTTCTACATTTTGGTATTGGGTGTAGGGATAGAGATGAAATCATGAAATTTGATATTGAGGTCACTAGTGGCTTTCAGGGGTTACATATAAAGAGACGTTGAAATATTTTTCGACAGAAACAAGTTAAAAAAGCTGTAAGTTCGACCGGGCCGGATTTTGAATACCCTCCACCATATGGAATGAATTTGGCAATTTTCAAAAAAAAAAATCCGTTAAAAATTCTGTTAAAATCATAAACATACCGAATGTATCCGTTATATTAGGATCTATACGACGTCGTGGACCTGAATCATCAAAATCATAAAAACCTGCAGAGACAATCTTCTGTCATAGGCTGTAGTATGCATTACTAACTCCAAATACCATATTTGAAACAATTCCGGTCAATAATGCCGCTAAAATCTTCAAAGTACCGAATATCGGTAGGTACCGTTATATGGGGGCTATAACAAAACGTGGACATACATTGCCCATTTTCAATACCAAAAGTCTTGCGGACATAATATACATTTAAATAGAATTTTTATCAACCAACTTCATTTCGTTCGGAAACTAGAGAGATTTCCACAGGCGGACGGACATCGCTAAATCGGCATAGCATTTTTATGCTGATCAAGAATATGTTTATATTTTGTGGGGTCTTAAATGTATATTTTGGGGTTTTACAAACGGAATGACAAACTCAATATACCCTCCATACTATGGTGGAGGATATAAAAATGGATGTGGGGCCATTGTGTCCATTTGAAGACTTTTTGGTGAAGAAGGAAATTATTTTGCAATTATTCCTTCCGAAAAAGGAAAGACTTGAATAATATATAAAACCTTGAAAATCTGAAAATTTTGAACGATGTATGAAATACGAACTGTTGGAACTAATCTAAAATTTTAAGTACACTTTTCGCTGATGAAGTTGCCGGGTAGTTACTATCCATAAAAATCAAAATATCAAAATATCCATAAAAATCTATGCATATTGGTTTCTTGAAAATATCCTTGGAATCCAAAGAAGTGTCTTTCAAAATGCATGAGTGGTGGTTTTCCCATAATATCCATAACATTTCCTTGAAGTGCCTTAAATCTTTTCTGCAAATATACCCTTTAGCATGTCTTCAATGCTTCTCTCTCGGCTTGCCTTCAATCTGATATTTCCTTTTTTATTTAATAACGATTTTTATGTTTCTCTTTCCCATAAATGAGAAAAAGTAGGAAAATTCAAAACTCAAACAAGAAAATGTTTTTAAAAACTTTCGAAACAATTTCCTTGCCCGCAAGAACATTTATTATTTTAATTTGCTAGTATCTCTCACACAAAGTTACTGTATTCGTGCGATACATTACCATATCTGACTTATTTTAAATTCCCCCTACAACGGACAACGAGTTTGTGCATAAATTTCTT